CTGAAGTGCACATACCCTCCATGGTGATGCACACTCGGCAAGACCCTGATGGAGCCGTAATTGAGCGTTGGAAGTCGGAAGTGAATATGGTAGTGAAGGCTCTTCTCTGCGTTGCTTAAGCTTCCCAGGCCTTCAAGAAGGTCCCACAGAGGTTCGAAACAGGCGAGACTGCGTCACTGCGCTGACGCAAAGGGATGGGATGAATGCCAAGGATCACTACATGACTATCAACCTGATAGTTCACGTTGGGAAAGCCTTCTCGGAGGTTGCCATCATGCCAGAGCTACGCGCGGCAGCCGGCCGACTTTCGCCCGCGCAGTCTGGCGCTCTCCACGGCACTCGAGCTGCGATTGTTCTTGCGCGCGACATCGGGCAGACGAGGTCGCGAAGCCCTGGCGGTCCAAGCCGAATTGCAAATTATTGGTGTCATTGTTTGATCGGCGTGGATCAGGCTTTTGATTTGCTCGATCGAAGTAGAGCGCGGGAGGCCCTGGAGGCTCTTGCGCTCGCTTGAGAGACGCGTCTTGCCGTAGAAGAGCCGCGCGACGGTGCCTGCCGCGTTATTCGCGACGCTAGGACTAGCCAGCCGCGCAGGCAGATGCCCGCCAGGAAGGGAGCGAGGCTGGGAAGCGTGGAGGGACCTGACTTATGGATACCCATGCACAACCTCATCGCTAAGAATATCAGAGATGAGATGGTGGATGAGGAATTCGCGAACATTAGTGCAATGGACGATCACCATTTTCAGGCGCTCTAGGATTCGGCGAAGTTCGCGGGTCTCGATGGGGAAGGTGTTAGATGCATCTTAGATCAAGTTCGTAGATGACTCCATCGCCCCGACCGTTGTGCACTACTTATAGACGGGCCCCCCCTCTCAGGGCCCCCGCGGGCCCGCCTCATTGCTGGTGGCCTAACCATGAACGCCCCGAAAACGGGGTTGGAGCTGAGCGCGGCGGGGAGAGGGTGCTGGGGGATATGGAAGAACATCACAGCCAGGCAGACTGGCACTCGCGCGACCCGTGCAAACGGCGGGCACCGAGAGACCCGCCCGACGCCGGATGCGAAACATCTCGGCAGCCTGCTCTCGGCCAAGGGGTCGCGCGCCGCAGAGATCAAAGCTCGCGCTGCCGCGGCGAAAAAGGCGCGCGGCAGGCTGTCCCAGAAGGCCTTCGAAGGCAACCTTGGTTTGCGCCTCAAGGTCCGGCTGTGGAATTCCCCGGTTCGGTCGGTCGCGTTCTGCGCGCTGGAGGTAGCCGCTTCAACAAAGTCTGACTGGGGGAAGTTGAGGAGATTGCAGACTCGCAAACTTCGCCGCGCCCTTCAACCCCCTGCCCATTTTCGCCGCGCCCCGAATGCTGAAGGTCGTAGTGGGGCCGATGTTTTCAGAGTGAGCTCTACCTTGCTACGCCGAAGGTTGTCCTGGCGGCGCCGACTGGTTTCCTCTGGCCCTTTCCCAGAGCCCCCCCGACTGCGATCCGTCAGGCGGATTTCGCGCGGTCGTTTTCGGTCAGCTCTCGTTCGAAGACCCCCAGAGCCGCAATCAAAACGGCCGTCTCGGGCAGTTGCTCGGCGACTCACGCGCGCCGCGGCCTCGCCTGCCCGACGATTGCAAGCGGGGGGCATCGAGCGGGGTGCCGTGTACTTCCAGGCTTCGTTTGAATTGTTTTGCGCGCTCTCTCACGGGGAGCTAGCTGATGGTCATCCTCTCGCGCGAAGCTGGGAGCGGCCAGCTTCGCGAAGCAGGCGACATTGCGGATTGGAGGCCGTCTTGCTTGTCCAGAGCGCGGTAAAGCGCACAATGGTCAGAAGGGTCTCGATAACCGCAGACTTGCTGCACGCTCGATCGCGGCCAACCGCGCCAGTGCTTCGGCGGGGGATCCTGGAGGCCCGCAGGCGCCCGCGTCGCTTGTCTACTGTTGCTTGGAGAGACACTTCGGCGCGCCGCGCCCAGTCGAAGCGCCGCCCTCGTCTTCTGCGCTACAGGCCATTCAGGCTCTGGCGGGGCGCATTGCCCCCCCCCCCCCCCCGCGGCGCGACCCCCCCACCCCCCCGCCCCCGACCGCGGGCCAGCGCTCGCGCCAGCGGCCGAGGTCCTCAAGAAGCGGGGCGCGGGCGAGGCGGGAGTCGGAGCAGCGAAGCCAGGGCAAGCAAAAAGGGTGGGTCGAGCAGAAGGGCGCCACGAAGAAGGACAGGCCCATCACGAAGCTGCTCCCCCAGCGCGAGGACAACTTGCGCGGGTCGGCCCGCGACCAGAGCGCGGCGGCGAAGTCCAAGGTCGGCTCCAACACGCAGCCGGCGTTGGCCGCGAGCAAAGCGCAGTGCAAGAAAATAGGGGAGGGGGCGCGCGAAGGAGTCGATCCAGAGGACTGCCGCGGGCACTCATCGGGCAAGAAGCCAGACGCGCACCTCCGCATGGTGACGTTCAGACTCTGCGAGACAGTCGAGTCCAAGTACGAGGATGCGAAGGCGGCGGTGTCTCAGGGACCGAACCCAACTACGGCATCAGAGGCGTTGAAAGTGGTGGCCGGGTCCGGGAAAATCATGAACAGTCTAGACGTGAAAGTCAAAGCAACCAGGTGCCCCGAGGTGACGGTAAGGTCCGAAGTCGAGGGAGGGGCGGTGGAGGAGTCCAAATGGATATTCGCAGCTATGTCGCGCCCGTCGCTGATGCAGGCGCTCTTCACCCTCGGAGGTTTGAAACCGACCAGTGTGATTCTGGAGGACGACGCGGCCCCCAGGTCCAAGATGGCAAAAGAGCTCGAGATAATGATCATGAAGGGAGGAGGAGGCAGAGAAAAAGCGAAGCGCAACAGGAAGCAGCGCGCCTTAACACAGGTGGTAGTACTAGCAATGGCCTCCCGAGCGCCCACACTGGATGGTGGGACACCCTAGCTCTGGAGTAGACCCACTAAAAGAAATGGCTACTCAACCTATGGAAACATATGCGGTGCCGCGTGTTAGTTTACCGCCTCAAGCGGCAGCGTTGAAAAATGATCAGTAGCAGTCCCAGCGGCACACCCGTGAAGAAGGTGCCCGTGAAAACGGCGCTGGGTGGAAAACGCGGTGCCCCCACGCCCCGCTGGCAAAAACTCCCCAGAACGACAATCAACAGAAACCCGCAACGGCCTGAGCGCCGCAGTGGCTGGCACCCACGGAGCCCGTCCAACAACCACGCAGAGAGAGGAAGGATTGTTTACGATGTTTCCACTCGTCGCCGAGTCGTTGCCTCAATCCGCAGTGGTGCCGTAGGGGTGATCCTAGGGGCGACCGCCGCGACCCGTCGACCTTTGCGGTCCCTGCCGATGGCCACTCCAAAGAGCCTGGCTGCGGCAGCGGGTGGCGGTGCGAAGTCATGCCTCTACCGTCGCGTCGATAGGCACTCTTATGATGCCGCTTTGTAAAGCCGCTCATTGGCGACAGGTCACTCTTACAGGTCATCAGAAGACGACGCATGGTGCCGCGTAGTGCCTACTAGGTTCGCCTCGGCCGCGGGAACGGCCGACCCGTAAAATCAGACGAGGCCGCCTCCGCCGGCGGAAGGCCGACGGAAGCTGGCGGAAGTGAGGGTCGGCCGTTCAAGAGGTGCCAAGGTTATTTGGTACAGGGTTTGTGAGCCCGCCCGCCCACGCCTGCAGGGGGGGGGTGATGGCGCGGGGGGAGGCGGAATGTCGCTGCCCCTGTGATTCAAGCTTCCCGCCCAAGAGGCTGGACGCCCCTCCCAGGAGGAGGCAGATGGAGGCGGGAGGTGACCAGAGGAGGAGGCGGAGGGGGGGGGGACGAGGTGGAGGGAGGAGGACGATCATCAGAAGAGGGCGAACCGAGACAATTGCGTGTTGCTTCTCAGGGGCGGGGCCTCCGACCGAGAAGCGGCTCAAGATGGACTTGGATTGGGATTGGGCCTTGAGGTGATGTTGAGCGGATTTTGGACGGGCGGGAGGGCCGCCGTTGTATCAAGTGGCCTTCTTCCGAAATGACGATTCGAGATGCCAGGAGGAGGAGGAGGAGGAGGAGGAGGAGGAGGACGACGATTATGAGGAGGAGGAGGAGGAGGACGAGAAGGGGTGAGGAGGATAGTGAAACGCTACTTCCCACACTGGCCAACGTCCGCGCAACGCAACGAAAGACACAACATGAATGGAACGCAAGGAAGAAGGAGGAGGTGGAGGAGGAGGAGGAGGAGGAGGGGGAGGAGGGGGAGGGGGTGGAGGAGGAGGAGGAGGAGGGAGGAGGAGGAGGAGGAGTGAACCCTCGCCATACATGACTCCCCTCTCCATTCTTTTTCCTCCCGCCAAGGGGGGGAGGGAGTCCAGAGAAGGAGGAGGAGGAGGAGGAGGAGGAGGAGGACGGGACCCTCACCATTCCTCCTTCCCCCTCCTTGTCTCGCGCCTCCCGTCGCACCAGAGGAGGGGAGAAGGGATGTCCAGAGAGGGAGGAGGAGGAGGAGGAGGAGGAGGAGGAGGAGGAGGAGGAGGGGGAGGAGGAGGGAACCCTCGACATGCCTCCCTCCCCTTCCATTCCTTTCCCTCCTGCCAGGGGAGATGGGGGGACGGACAAACACCAGATCCAGGATCGGAGTAGATCCTCCAGCGCGCCCTGAACGCTGCCAGAGCGTTACGGAACGCTCTAAGGAGGCTGTGGCGCCCGAGGCATCCCTCCCCGATCCTGGCTCTGTGTCCTGTGTGTACAGTGGGGGCACATGCCAAGAAATACCTGGGTTTCATGGGTTTCATGGGTTTCGATGGTTTTTCTGCGGAAGGCGTGGCCCTCCCACGCCTCAAATCAGTGGACGTCCTGGGGTCTCAGGGTTGGGTTTCTTGTGGAAGGTCTCTTGTGGACCGGCCTCAACTGTATGTGTAGGAGGAGGAGGAGGAGGAGGAGGAGGAGGAGGAGGAGGAGGAGGAGGAGGAGGAGGAGGGGAGGAGGGGAGGAGGAGGAGGAGGAAGAGGGGGGGAACCTCGCTGCCCCGCGTGGCTGGGCCCGCGGCCGCCGCGCCGTCCCAGGCTGGACGCCCCTGCTGGTGTCCTCGGGCGAGGGCCACCTGGAGGTCTGCCAGACGCTCCTCACGTACCAGGCCCTCGCGGCGTCCAGGAGGAGGAGGAGGAGGAGGTGGAGGAGGAGGAGGAGAAGGAGGAGGAGGAGGAGGAGGAGGAGGAGCAGGAGAAGGCGGAGGAGGAGGAGCAGGAGGAGGAGGAGGAGGAGGAGGAGGAGGAGGAGGAGGAGGAGGGGGAGGGGGACAAGCTCGGTGCGCTCGCGTCATATCTGACATCCTACCCCTCCCTCCCATCCCTTACCATGGCGCAGATCCCCTCTCTACTCGCACAGTCGGATGTCGAACAGGGCAATGATCCCGAAAGGGTACGTGATACATTGTAGAGCACGGCGTGGCATGGCGTAGAAGAGCACCGCAAAGTGTAGTATCAACCTAGCATTGCATTGCATGCCGTGGCATGGCACGGGAAATGACGCCAGCGCTGCAGCGGGAGCACGAGTCGAAACGAGCGGAAGCGCGGAAATGAGGCCAGCGCTGCAGCGGGAGCACGATTCGGAACGAGCGGAAGCACGCCGGAATCAGCCCAGGAGGCGTTCATTGCCATTTTCAACTTCGGGGGGTCCTCGCCGGGCCTCGGGACCGTCAAAAAACGAGTCAGGACGAAAAGCCAGTCCCTGGGAAAGGGTCGGGACTTCCAGGGACACCGCAATGAAAAAATCAGGACGTCGAGTGTCTGGGGATCCCTGACCAATGTCAGCGTGTGCCCGAGAGGAGGAGCAGGAGGGAGAGCCAAGTTAGCCATGTCGAAAGAGTCCGCGGGCCCCGTCCCCCCCCCGCGTCCCGAAACCTGGCGGCACAGCTCGATGTTGGGACTGGAACACGTGCCCACCCAGCGGACGGAAAGCGCTCGCGCGCGATCCCACTTCCGACAGCATGGCGAGGGGAAGCATGCGGGTCGCGCACGGACGGGAGCGGAACCGCAGAGCATGGCAGGGGCGATCCTTCCGTGCGGCGAAGGCACGCTTCAGCCTCTGCTCGGGCGGCCAACCTCCCGACAGGCGCGGCCAAGCCGAGGCAACCACTGCGCCCGCTTTCGCGCGGCTCCGCTGCCGCTCACGTGCGAACGCCTCTCGCAGGCTTAAAGATTGACACCAACACCAATATCGGCGGTGTGCATCCACCGAGGGAAGAAGATCCCGATCTCGGTGATGGTGGTAATATTTTGGTTTCCAAGGTGGCCGAAATATTACCACCGACACCGAAATCTGGGATCACCTCCACCCTGTGAAGGCACCCCCCTGTGTTGGTGTTGGTGCCCATTCCCAGGCCTCCAAGCCTCGCCTCGCCCAGGCGGGAACGCCACACCCCGGCGAAGAAAAAAAAAAGAAGAACGCCACACCCCGGCGAAGTGCGCACGGAACCCGTGCGAAGGGCGGCGGGTCGCCCGCTCGCGAGACTCCGGCCCAGGCCCCCAGCGGTGCGGCCAGCGAGGCGTGTGCGCCGCGCCGAGGCGGCCGCGCAGAGCGTCGCGGTGCCCAAGCGAGGAGGGACATTACCAGCCTCGAACGTATCCCTATCCCTAAGATTGGCACGCCAAAAGGCGATGACAATCTTAGGGATTCGCCCTCCAAAAAATAAGGGAATCCCTAAGATTGGCATCGTGATGAGGAGGTGCCCAGCATAGGGATAGGGATATGTTCCAGGCTGGTAGAGACAGGTTCGACCGCGCGCTCGTCGATGAATCTAATCGACTCGCGGGGAGCAGGCGCGAGCGCCCGAGGGGCAGGCCAAGCCTGGGGAGCGAGAAGCGCGGCGCCAGGGCGAGAGCGGCACGGCGCCCAGTCGCGCGGGATGCGCGCCACGTCCGCTTCCAGTGCGTATTCTCCACGGCGACGACAGAACGCCCATGTCGAAAAAGCAACGTCCGTCTTGCATTGGCCCGGATGCAAAGGCCCAGATGGGCCCAGACTGAGCTGCCCATGGGGCCACGAAGTGCTGTGCTTTGTGGGGCGGACGCATGCACACGTCGCCCCTGGGGCCTTCGGCGGAGCTCCCAATGGGGCCACGAAGCGCTGTGCTGGGTGGGGCGGACGCATGCGAACGTCGCCATCGGGCCTTCGGTGGACCTCTGTTTGGGGCCACGAAGCGGTGTACTGGATGGGGCAGACGGTTGCGAACGTCGCCACTCGGGCCTTCGGTGAAACTCGCAATGTGGCCACGATGCGCTTTATTAGGTGGGGCGGACACATGCGAACGTCGCTTTGGGGGCCTTCGGTGGAATTCCTTGCAGGGCCACGCAGCGTTTTGCTTGGCGGGGCTGACGCATGCGAGCGTCGCCACAGGGAGGGCCTTCGGTGAAGCTCTCCCCATGGGGCCACGAAGCGCTATGCTGGGTGCGGCGGACGCATGCGATGTTACCACTGAGGCCTTCGGTGGAGTTCCCTGTGGGGCCACGAGGCGCTGTATCGGGCGGGGCGGACGCAGGCGAACGTCGCCACTGGGGCATTCGGTGGAGTTCCCTGTGCGGCTACGAATCGTTGCACTGGGTGGACCAGCCGCATGCGAACGTCGCCATTGGGGCCTTCGGTGTCGAATGTTGTACTGGGTGGGGCGGACGCATGTGAACGTCGCCACTGGGGCCTTCAGTGGAGCTCCCATTGGTGCCACGAGACGCTGTAGTGTGTGGGGCGGACGCATGCGAACGTCGCCATCGGGCCCTCAAGTCGAACTCCCTATAGAGCCATGAAACGTCGTGCTGGATGGGGCGGACGCATGCGAACGTCGCCTATGGGTCCTTCGGTGAAGCTCCCTATGGGGCCACAAGACGCTGCACTGGGTCGGGCGGACGCATGCGAACGTTGCCACAGGGACCTTCGGTGGATCTCGCCAGGGGGCCACGATACGCGGGCGGACGTCGCACTCGGGCCTTCGGTGGGGCTCCCTATGGGGCCACGAAGCGCTGTACTGAGTCGGGCGGACTCGTGCGAGCGTCGCCGCTGGAGCCTTCGGTGGAGCTCTCGTTGGGGCCACGCTTTGCTGGGCGGGACGGACGCGCGCAACTGTCGACACCGGGGCCTTCGGTGGAATTCCTGAAGGGGCCACGAAGCGATGTGCAGGCCTTTGACAAGTTCGAATCGTCAGCCCCGCCGCTCCAAATTGTCAGCCCTCGGGCCCCCCTCTGGCCTCCTGGACAGCTCGGGGGGTCAACCTGGATTGTCCGCCTTCTGTGGGCCGAGCTCCTTGGCTCGCTATTATCCGGGCCGCGGCGGGGCTGGCGAAATTGTTTTTGCAATCGTCACCCAATCATCTTCCCTGACCCATCTACCCGCATTCAACTGCCCGAGAGCGCTCTGGAACTTCACTCAAAGCATCTGGAGCGCTCTGGGAACGGCCCGCTGTGCCTGGCACATCCTTTGGACCCGCCATCTCTCGGAAGTCCCCGAGCTATCCTCATCCAGAAATGTCCCCAGAACGAGAAATCTGAGGTTGGCCTTCCGTCTGTTCTCAAGATTGCGTTGCGGCCATTGCGTTGCGGCCGCAAGTGTTCCAGGCCTGCGTCTGCGAAGTCTAGTCCCGGGTCAATGGGTGTTGTGTTCAACGGGCGTCTGTCCACCCCCGAATGGAGGAGAAGGCGGTTTCCCTCTCCCCCCTTCTCCCCTTTTGTCGTCTCTCCTACATGTTTCCCTTTTCCTCACGTTCGGGCCCTCCGTCGCTCTCTCGTCACGCTACGTCTTCCCCCAGTCCCCATCCGCCCTGACAACCCATACGCCATAGCGTGTATTAGTTTTACAGCCAGCACGAGGGAGTTTCAAACAAACCCTTTATTTGGAGGGGTCCCCTGTTCTGGTTTTGGGTGTTCTGCCTCGGAAGGTTCTTCGGCTGGGATACCACCATGGGGCCATGGGGGGTACGTCAACGGGGCTCTTGTCCTTGACCCACGTTCTTGCGGCCATGCTTCAGCTGTGCCGTTGTCGTTGGCATGATGTTCGTTGTTGTTGCTGTGGTTGTTGCGGTTGTTGGTGGTGTTGTTGTTGAATACTGATTCCTAGAAAATAAGTGTTGCTGATCTCCGGAAGCGGTTCCGTACGCTCTCGCCTCGACGCGGGCTACCTTTTCTATGAAAAGAAGGTTCCCGCGCGAGCGTTGGTTTGAGTCTAAGTGTGTGCCTTTGGAGGCCCGGCTACGACGACAACGGTTCCCGCTCGATACTTCCTCACAATTTACCCCGAAACGCCCTGGCCAGAGAGGCCCCCGAACCCAGGAACGGTGCTCTCGCTAGAGACTTCCTCGCAACTCAGTCAAGTTGGCGGAGGCCCAGCTACGACGACAAGGGCTCCTGCTCGATACCTCCTCGCGATTTACTCCGAGAGCTCCTGGCCAGGAAGGCCCCCGAACTCAGGAACGGCGCACTCGCTCAAGATTTTCTCGTGGTTCGATCAGATTGGTGGAGGCCCATCTACGACGACAAGGGCTCCCGTTCGATACGTTCTCAAGATGTATTCGCAGAGGCCCTTGCCAGAGGCCCCCGAACTGAAGAATGGCGCTCTCGCTCGAGACTTTCTCGTATGTCCGGCAAGTTGGTTGAGGCCCAGACACGGCGACAAGGGCTCCCGTTCGATATTTCTCATTTCTCCATATGTATTCCGAGAGATTTTGGCCAGAGAGGCCCCCGAACTCAGGAGCGGCGCTCTCGCTCGAGAGATCCTCGCATTTCAGTCAGTGGCCGACAAGGAAGAGATTCCCCCCGAAAGGAGGTGTGATCGAAGACGAACTGGGCGGGTATCGAGGGTTGGGGTATACAGAATGCAGAGCACGCGTGTCAGTACGAGCGAACTGTCTTAAACTGATTGTTGTCATTGTTGTTGCTGTTGCTGTTGTGGTGCTGGTGTTGATGGTGTTGTTGTCGTTGCTGTTGGTGGTGTTGGTGTTGTTGGTAGTGTTAGTGTTGTTGCTGCTGTTGTGGTTGTTGTTGGTGGTTGTGTTGTTGGTGGTGATGGTGTTGTTGGTGTTATTGGTTATGTTGTTGGTGATGTTGTTGTTGCTGCTTGTTTGTTTCATCAGTCGTTGGGGCCAGCCTTCTCGCAAGGCAGAGGGTTTTCGACTGATGCAGGGGCGTTCGAGGTTTACCGCCGCTGTTCAAGCAGCCTTCGTTCGAGGCCTCGGGCCCCTTCGAAAGCAGGCTTTTGCCTCCCAAGAACCTGCCCGCCTCTTGGTAAGGCCGTCCCCGTCCCGCCACCCCCCTGGGTGGGGCCGCCAGGAGCACGGCGGGCACTGGAATTACAGGCAATCCTGGCCTAGGAAGGGGTGGCCTTCCGATCTTCGTGTTTGGGCTCTCCATCTTGGACTGCCTTCCGTTTGGGTTTTATCTCCACGGGTGCTTTGGGCCCTCGGCGAGGGGGCGCGTGCGGGGCCACGTGGCCACGTGCCCGCTGCCCTCCTGTGGCGACGTGTCTGCTGCGGTGTCGGCTCCTGCGGCCACGTGTCGGCTGCAATCACAAGCGGCCGACGGCGATGCCGACGGCAAGTACAGTCGGGGCGCAGAAGAAGGAACCCTTTTCGTTTGGGAGGGGCTCCGTGTTCCTGATTTGTGTCACAGCGCTCCTTGGGTTTTCCTTCGGTTTTCGATGGGCAATCGAAGCTTAACTTGTGGAGAAAAGGGGCCTCGTTCCATATTTAGGGTTCCTTAGGTCAACGCCCCGAGTGTAATCACAAGCGGCCGACGGCGATGCCGACGGCAAATGCGATGGGGATGCGCCGAGGCCAACGTGCACGGCTTCGCGGGGGACGGCCGGTACGAGCGCAGCGCATTGCAGGAGGCCGCCGAGCAGGGCCACGCGGTCGTGGCCAAGCTGCTGCTGGACAGGGGGAGGAGGAGGAGGAGGAGGAGGAGGAGGAGGAGGAGGAGGAGGAGGAGGAGGAGGAGGAGGAGGAGGAGAGGAGGAGGAGGAGGAGGAGGAGGAGGAGAGGAGGAGGAGGAGGAGGCGGAGGAGGAGGAGGAGGAGAGGAGGAGGAGGGAGGAGGAGAGGAGGAGGAGGAGGAGGAGGAGGAGGAGGAGGAGGAGCCTGGCAGCTCGCGAACGGCGGGACGGGCGCCAGCGGCTGGACGACGCGGACTACCGCGCGACCGCCCGGGCGCTCCTGGGCCAAGACTGCGCGCCCGCGGGCAGCCGCTGCTGCAACCGCCTGCGCACTGGCGAGCGGGAGGGGCAGCCCTGCGGCGAGCCGCTCTGCTGCAAGGCGCGGCACGCCTTCCGTTGCGCCTGCGGAGGCGGCACGAAGGCGCGCAGCAGGGACGTCGAGGACGTGTGGGACCGCATTCACCAGGAGTGCGGTTTCCGCACGGCCCGGCAGGTCCCGGTCCCCGCATGGGACCGCTGGCGCTGGCGCTGCGCCGCGGCCGGCTGCAGGGCGCGCGAGCGGGCGGCACGCGGCGGGCCGGCTTCGGGCTGGCGCTACGCCGACGCCCCGCCGGGCGGGCCTTGCGGCGCCTGCGGGGGGCCGCTGGAGGTCGAGCGCCAGGAGGCGCTGCTCGACCTGGAGCTGCAGCGCGGCGACTGCCCCCGGACGCTGGTGGACGTCACCGTCCGCTACAGCGTTCCGGGGGACGCACGCGCTCTCGCCGCGGCCGCGGACGGCGACGGCACGGTGGCCGCCGAGGGGGAGGCGGACAAGCGCCGTCGCTACCCCGAGCGGCGCGCCCCCTGGCCGCTGCTCCCGCTGGCCCGCGAGACGGCCGCCTGGCTCGGCAAGGCGGCGCTGAGCCACCTGCGCTGGCTCGCCCGGGACCAGGCGCAGGCGCTGGGCGACGGGCCGGAAGCCGAGGCGGCCGCGAGCGCCCTGGCCCGCCGCTGGGGCGCGGAGCTGAGCTGCGCGCTGCACCGCGCAACCGCGCGGCAGCTGCGCAGCTCGCTCGGCCAGGAGCGCGAGCTCGCGGCCCGGGCCGCGCTGGCGGCCGAGCTCGCCGGCTAGCGGGCCGGCTGGCGCCGCCGGGCTGCCGCCGCGGCCGGGCGTGGTGCCGCTGCTCTACACCATCGTCGCGCTGCTCTTCTTCTTCCGGAAGGTCGCCGTGGTGGTAAGGGGGTGGCATGCGTTGCGGGAAAGACCGTGTCCGCCGTGCCAGGAGGAGGAGGAGGAGGAGGAGGAGGAGGAGGAGGAGGAGGAAGAGGAGGAGGGGGAGGAGGACGAGGACGAGGAGGAGGAGGAGGAGGAGGAGGAGGAGGAGGAGGAACAGCAGGAGGAGGAGGGGGGGAAGAGAAGGAGGGGGAGGAAGGAGAGGAGAGGAGGAGGAGGAGGAGAAGGGGAGGAGGAGCGAGCAGGGGGATGGAGGAGGAGGGGCGGCGGAGGAGTAGCAGGAGGAGGAGGAGGAGGGGGAGGAGGAGGAGGAGGAGGAGGAGGAGGAGGAGAGGAGGAGGAGGAGGAGGAGGAGGGGGAGGAGGAGGAGGAGGAGGAAGGAGGAGGAGGAGGAGGAACAGCAGGAGGAGGAGGAGGAGGAGCAGGAGGAGGAGGAGGAGGGTTTCCCTCCCCGCTCCTTGCTGCCCAGGGGGGAAGGGGTTCTGGGCAGCATCTTCGGCTCTCCAGGAGGCTGCCTGTGAGGTGGCGCACGTGCGCCACCCGCCCCGAGACCGCACATGCGCACCGCGCACGCCCAGCGCGAAGCCGAGCGGACAGCAGCTTCCTCCCGCTCCCCCTCCTCTTCCTTCCCCACCCCCTTCCATCCCGCTTCCTTCTAAATAGCAATCCCCCCGCCGCACCGCCAGACGTGTCCGCCCATCTGCCATCCACCAGCTAGACCAGTCTGGTCGTTTCGTTCATCTGCCACGTCCTCTTCAACTGTACCCAGCTCCCCTTGTCTGGCTGCGCATCACACGATGGAACACGTGGGGGTCCAGGCCTGCCAGGACACCCGACGGCGGACGCAGGGAAAGTTCAGCGCAGTGGGAAGGGATTGGTGGGAGGGATTATGTTGTCGTGCACAGTAGGGGCTCGACCACAAGAAACCCAACCCTGGAACCCTGGGACGTCCATTGACTTTTGGTAGAGGAGCGTCACGCTTTCCACTGCAAAATCATTGAAACCCTAGAAACCCAGGGCAACCTGGAGGCAAGCAGGGTACTTCTTGGCATGGGCTTCCACTGTATGGCGCGGCCGCAGACAGCTTGCCCCTTCCCCACCTCCTTCCTTCCCCACTTCCTCCTCCCCCCTATCCCTCCTCTTCCTTCCCCTCTTCCTCCCCCTCTCCCTTCCCCTCTTCCCTCTTACTCCTCCCCCTCTTCCTTCCCCTCTTCCTCCTCCCCCTATCCCTCCTGCCTCTCCTCCTTCACACTTACGCAGCAGCTGCAGAATCTGACGACTGCTCTTCTTTCCCCCGAGTCTGGCCGGATGATGCCGCCGGGCTGCAGCAGTTTGTCGTTCCAGTGGTTTTTGTTTTGATCTGCCCCCGTTGCTCAGAATGGCGCTCTCGCCCCAACGAGAGCCACTATCTTCTGGACCCGAGTCCGCCCCCCTCGTTCCCCTTCCTCTGCCTTCCCTTTGTCCTCCATCTCCTCCCGATCCGTCCACTCCAGTTCCCGCTGCTGCTGTTCGCCCTCGTCCTCATCCTTCCGCAGCCTTTTCCCTCCTACGTTTCCTGCTCATCCTCCTGCTTATCCGCCACCTTCTCCAATGTGCGCAAGCATCCTTTTTCCGATTGCGCGTGCGCGACACGCTGGGGTGCTGCTTGGAATGCCAGGTCCGCTGTGCCGCGCGTCGGCAGATAGAGAAGAATCAGCGCAACGGGAAGGGATCGGTTAGAGGTAGGGTGTCATATATGGCGCGAGCGCACGGATACGACTCTCCTCTCTTCTCACAGGGTTGCCAAAGAGTGTCCCGCCCGCTTCCGCGCATAGCTTTTTGCACAGTATTTCATGAGTTGTGTGTTTTTCTAGTGGTTGTGATTTTCATCCGGACGTTTGACGGTGTCGCAAAATGGTGTTGCAGCGGTGGCTTCATGTTAGGATCGGCGTTTTGCACTCGTCGTCCAGAATGGCGCTATCGCCTCTGCGCGGGCAACGTTTCTGTGTCCTACGCATTCTTACTTTTAACTGGATACCATGGTTCGTCTCCAGTTGGCCGCCAGCTGGCGGCAATGCCAGCTTTCGTGCATCCGCAGATGCTGCGCGTAACGAGGCAGCCGCCTCCAGGGCGCAGTCTGGCGGCCAGGCCAGCTGTCCTGCACGCTCTCACGTCTATCTGGTTACCGCTGCCGTCCTTTCCTGGACGCTGGCTGGCGGCAAAGCCGGCTTTCGTGCGTCCGGAGATCATGCGCGCTTATCCCCGTGGCGATGCAGCTGCTTCAAGGACACGATCTGGCGGCAGGGCCGGCGGTCCTGCACGCTCTCACGGCTATCTGGTTTCCGCGGCTCGCCCCCCTTGGGGCGACGTCGTGGCGAGGAGCGCATGAGGAGGGATCGCCGTCCCATTTCTCCCCCCTCCACGCCCAGGAGGGGTGCCATTTTGCGCATTCGATCCCCGTGCTTGATTTTTTGATGCAGGTACGTTTCAGCTACATGGTGGCCTCCTGCCCCCGATTGCTCCGAAGTCGTGATCAACTGGGACGCACACCACCTGCCACGTGCTGTGCTACACCTCACGCACCGCACAGCACAGCACGGGTCTACTGGGCATCGCTGCTGTGTGTGTGTGTGTGGTCGAAGGCTGGGTCTCACCCGACGGCTGCGGCAGAGGGAGGCCTGCGTCCCCAGATGTGATTTCCGCCTGGCCTCAAGAACACTTTGGGCCAAGAACGGTCACAGAGAGACAGCGCTCTGAGGCATAGGGGCGCGTGAGATTTGCACGCGTCGATCGGTTCCCGCATGGTCCGTCTCGGCTTCGGGCCCCTCTGAGACCAGCATTGCCTTTCTGCTCAACCAGCCCCTCGTGCGGAGAGGCTACCCTTCGGTCTCCTTGCGCGCCTCGTCTCTGTGTCGATCCGAGGTGTTCATCTGGCATCAAGAACAAGTTGAGCAACGAACCGCTACGGAGAGAAAACGCGCTGCGGCAGAGGCGAATGGGAATTGTGCGCAGGTCTCTCGGATCCTGCATTCTACGTTTCAGCGTCGGAACCCTTTGGGACCAGCACCGCCCCTATGCTCAATCAGCCACACAGCCCGGCAATACATGCCATGCAGTAAGTAGATCTCTGAGAATGTACCCCCTCAATCCCCCCATAGTCTGGCAGAAATTGCTTCACCCCCCCTCATGGATCTTCGATGGCCGCCAGAAGGCGGAGTTGCAGCCATTTGCGCAAGACAGCGTTCGGGCGTGCCGGAACATACGCAGGCAAATAAACGCGCATTTTAGGGGATGGAGGATGGCGTGGCACCGAACTTCGTGTCATCTTCGTCGCTCCATTCGGGACCTTCCCAATTCCCCTTAGAGAGGGGGGTCAGACTGTTTCATCAGTATCCCTGCCGCGCGGACGATGAGAGAACCTACAAACAAATTGTTTAATCTCTGCCACGGACGCGTGGCCGATAAGAGAACCTGCCCACAAGTCCCTACGTCTTGAAATCACAGCAATGCTGTGTATAGCTCTCAGGCATAACCCGCACACTCTGCTACAACAGCCTTGCCGTTTCTGTGGGATTCGGACGCGCGCTTCAAGTCCATACTCAATGTATGAATCCTCTGGTGCGCCCGTTGCGCACCAATGTCCAGCTGCACCAACCGCACGTCACAAAGACCAGGGTGAACACATCCCTTGGTTTGCGAGGCCCTAAATTCCCAGGAGCGGTCATTTCCCATCGAGGAAAATATACGCTGTGGATCTGCCCTGTGGGCCATCTTGTGACTGACTTGGGGCCTCTTGGGACCCTCTGGGTGCCTCCCCGCTGATCTGGCAGGCTCCAACATGATGATCGACGCTGTTGATTTTAGTTGTGAGCCATCCTGCGATTGCCCTGGCGGCCCTCGTTGGACCCTCTCCCAGCTTTCCTTCGATTCTGGTATGTTTCTACCCAAGAACGACCTCGTTCCGTGCAGCCTGGACCACAGCACCAGGCCATTCGCACCATCGGACCACGGTGCCTTCAGAGTGGCGCCTCCAATAAATTGGGCCCACTAAAGGGCTAAGGCGCCCCAATGCAATATTAGATCGAGTCTTC